CCACTAATCTTTGGCAACTGCTTCTTTAGATAAATTAGGAAGGTTAAAAATCTAAAATTTCTGTGGTTGGTCACTCTATAACACTTCAGGGGTCTTCCTAATTAATTAAGAATCTAAATCAAACTCTCACCCCTCATTGTCAACTTAAAACTAAAATGCAATTCATCGCTTGTAGCGTAAACAAATTTCGGAAGCACACAGGCACAAGCAAGTAAACCTTAACTTTATTCAACCGTACAATTGTAAGAGCTACATTAATATATATATATATATATATATATATAAATGTTGTATGATCTTAAATTCATTTAGTGCGAAAACAAGTTACTACTACTTGCGCAATTGCTGCAAAGTGAGTTATTAATTTATTTCCTAAACAATATTGATTAATTGATTATTATATTACCTCCTAAGTTTAATTAAATTAGAATTATTTTAAAAGAGTGAATCCATACTGGTAAGTTATATTTTGAAAGATGTTTTGAAGTAACTTGAAAGTAATATGTTAATAATGTTTTTAACGGGGACTGGAATTAAATCATTTATGAAGAACAAAATTTCAATTGTAAAAGGAAAAAAAAAATTAAATTAGAAGCATGTATGTAATCATTGTCATTGATCGGAAATTAGTTGACTTTTCAAGGGGAACCAACCAACTCCCGTTCAATGAACAATAATCAATAAATAAAATACGTAAATACGAAGGTGTTTCGTCTTTACTCGAGTAATAAGGTTAAGCCAAAACCGGCAATTCTAGTCAGGCCAAATATTTCCGCGAATAAAAGGGGATTATGAACCAATGCTGATACTCGAAGAACTATTATCTTATGAAGCATTTTAGCAATTCAATTTAATTTTGAGTGAAAAAGTAATTTCTGTAGAGAAATCCGAAAAAACTCTAACCGTCCCCAACACCCTCGTGTTTATGCATTTGAGTTCTATATTATTTGTTAAAAAAAATTTAAACATTGGAAATTGTCATTATGAAATAGAATTCAAAGTATAAAGTTGAAATAAAAATAACATAGAAGATTACAAAATAAGATAAATAATGTAAAACTTTGTAAAAAAACAAATCAAAAAAAATAATATAAAAATATATAAAAATATATAATAAGAACAGTGAATGTACATGAAGATAAAAGAAAAAGAGGTCAGAAAAAAAGTATTAAGTAACTTACATTCTTTCTAGTGGGGAGTCGGCAAAGTGTTCTCTTCGAGTCTGACTCAGAAGTGTAGGGTGTCCGAAAAATTCTTAGCGGCAGTGGGGGCTCTGAATAATATCTGTCGGTAAGACTTGGATGAAGTAATTTATGGTAGTGGGTGGTACTCGGCATTCTTGAGGGATGTATAATGTGGAGTTCTTATTTGGGTGAAACTGTCTGTTAAGATTTTTTTTGAAAATACTAGTGAATGGAAATTGATTAATTTCGGGCTAATTGTCGTGTCGTAATGATTAAGAATTTAAGAAAGGAAAAAAAAAAAAACAAAAAAAAAAGGAATTTTCACTGTCTAAGAGCTATTAGGACAGACTAAAGATTATGAACTAGGCCCATTTTTTTAGTAACAACATAGTAACAGCATAAGTCTGAAGACAATTAGCTTTTTACAATATATACAACTGAGTAATTACACTATATACAAATCTTTCAACTGATAATCATCCAACTTATACCGCCTTCTCAGATTTAGGGACAAATTATCATATCCCTATCAGTTAAATGATTTAGAGTGAGTATTTAACGTCTGCTCTTTTAAGACAATGGTTAATAAATTGAAGGGTATTAGATTTATTTTGAGAATTTCAATAAGGAGCAAAAATTTCGCGTTGTAAATCTATTGTATCTGTGCAGATAATTTTAATTCGTTGTATTGATTGATTATTGTATTGTTAATTACTTTTTTGGATATGTTGGAGTTCCAATTTATTAATTTGTTAGTATTGAAATTGAAGTTTCTTGTTTTGTCAAAAAGTAAATTTTTTTGTAGTTAATGATTTGAAGATCTCTATATATTTTTGATTAAGCAGAAATTGCTTTAAACATGTTTCAAATGGCTATAGCAAGCATTTTTTCTGAAGACTACACCTTTCGGTCGGATAACCTAATTTAAATTTAGGTGAATTTATTATTTGGACTAAGTTTTTAGATGCAAGGTAAACGCTGCAACTGTTACATAGCCAAACATAATGCAAATCCAAAGATGAAAATTAGATTTTTAATTGTCACTTAAACTCACTAGAAATCTCCCAAACTAAGCGATAAAATACACTTCTCAGGCTCTATAATTTTTAACTAATAATAAATCGATCTAAAACATAATAACATAGAAGGTAGTTTTGATACTTGAGAAATGATTAAGAGTGAATGGCTCCTTTTGAGGGCATTACTAGTTTTACTCGATAAATTTTAAAACGGAACGTGGCATAGAGACTTTAAAACGTAGAAACCATTTAGACCTTAAAAACATCCCAATTATTTTAAACTTTCGTAAATAAATTTTAAAAATAAACTTGAAGAGGATGACAAACAGCTTATTCTACATTATGTCTCGGAACACTACGAACTGTGAGGACGAATAGGCGAGTCAGCTTGCAAAGATCCTGCGTATTACTGCTGCGAACAATTTCTACAGTTTTTTTGTCAAAGAAAACTCTTCTTTCATAAAAAAATCTATTATTGCATCATTATGCCCTGCTTTTCCTTCCAGACGTATCTCTTCTAAACGCTGTACGCTCTTTAGATTCTTATTAAGCCGCAATTGCTTTCACTTCCATTTTTAGCTCAAAACGGGCTATAGTCTCAAAATGGGATTTTATGCCGGTTCACTGAACAGCGTATTAATTTACAATTTGTTGTCACCAAATCTTATCGCCCTGTACTATTTTAAAGAAATTAAATAATGAGAACCTGCGTTCCTGGCACTGTAAAAAAAATAAACTGTACCTAGAGCCATCAAATTCTGAATCGTAGTCCTCCACCTGAATATGTGCACCCAGAAGCCAGAATTTTTAATTCTGAAATTTTTTTATTGTTTATTTCATATTTTATAAAACTTTAATGAATTTCTGATTAGCAAATTCAACGATTTGAAAGCAAGCAGTTGCAATACTGCTGGAAATGAAACATTTTGATCTCCAGTGCGACAGACTGTTGCCATTCGGAACAATGTAAGCTAATGATCTTTCAGTTTTAATAACAAATTTTAGTTCATTAAAAGCAATATATTCCCCGCTACTAGAAATAAAACACTTTTATCTTCCACGCGGCAGCGTGTTGCCATTCAGTAAAGCCTTAGGTGATTTCAAATTTAATCTGGAAATATACTGAGTGATAAACTCAACAATTTAAAATCAGTAAACACAATTCTAAGAATTAAGAATACCTAAGTCTTAAGAATATTCTTTTCTACTATTAATGTGACTGATTTATAAAAAAACATGAATTAAAATCATGAGATGTCTAATTAGAAATATTCAATAATTTTATGAAAGCTAGCTGGACTCATTAAAATCATTATATACTTTCTCTTATGCTAACTATTTTAAGCAGTTAGTTTGTTAAGCTATTGTATAGCGAATATAAAACTATGTCTGGCAACCTCTAACACTCTTCGAGAATCTGTGTATATGTAAGAAAGGGGAAATTCTCACCACTTTACATATCCTCTAACTGAGAGATTTCACGTTAGACAACCAAATAACAATTATATAAAATTTAAAACCACCATCCACCATCGAATGATATATAATAGACTTAAATCCATCCTTAATTATCTACATCAATAAGGTCTAACCTATGTCTTCCGTAAACTCTACTCTAAAAATGTGCTTTCGGAGATTCTCTGGCAAACTTCTGATAACATTTTTAAAATTATAAATGAATTGCCAGTTAGAAGGCCCTGAAGAGGCCGTGTGGTTAGTGTGCCGCGGCTTTATCAGTTCTGTCTATGACGCTGTTTTGGTGCCTCAGACACTTGAACTTGACCTGATTTATGAATTTTCGTAAATGATGTACAGACATCCCCTTCACAAATTTAATTACTCTACTGAAGACTTCGATATAAATCCGCTATTCTATGACTTAATTATCTTCTCATACGATCCAATAGATACTGCTGCTTTCATATTATTTGCTTTCTGATGTAAATTCTTTGTGTTTCTTTGCCTTTTGTGTTTTCCCAGTAAAAAAAGTGTTATTCAAGTTTGAAAATTTTAAAAACTGAAAAAATTTTAGGTTATTTCTTAGTCAGTAATGTAAATATATTCTTTGCCGAATTTCAGTTTTTAGCACTTTTTGTGCTACCAAACAGCAGGCGTAGAAGAAATAATTATTATTCTTCATTCTTTGAAAAGATGTATCTCACTCATTGCTGTACGTTTGTTTTAAAAGTGAACATGAAACGATGTATTTTTTAAGCAACAGCTCATCTTTGTGTGCTCTTTTATTTTGACTGAAATTAAAAACAACTTAAACAATTCTTATTTTTCGTAAGTGCAAAATGTATGATATGAACAAAACCTAATTCTAAAAGCATCCTCTCAAACAGATGCTGCTTGATCCCCAATTTTATCATTTGCTGTTATAAGGTCATCTTTGGAAAGGATTCTTGAACCATTGAAATTCCCCAGTCTTTCATCGATTGTCGAGCATCTATGGAACAAAAAAGGTCGTACAACTTACTGACTTCCATTATTATATTCATTCTTACTATTTATTTTTTCTAGTTTCTTTAATTAACACTTTTTATCAAAAGACATGCAGACAAAGATCGTGAAGCGGTTAGGACTAGACCACATTCGTTCTCCATTTCCTGTTTGCGTACTTCAACTTCACTTATCTGTCTCACAAATTTATCAATTAGCTCTATCATATTCCGATTTGATCCTCAGTATCATTTCTTCTCTTTATCGGAAACAGAGGGAAAACAAGCGTGTTTGCAAACGATCAAAAAAAGGTTCAAGGTGCAGCAACAAATTGATAAGGTATATTTAATCGCTGACTTCGTAACCATAACATCATAATATAAAAGAGAAAGGGGCCATTAAACAAAGGTAAGCACTCGATTTCATCGCTTATGTAATCGAAAGAGATTGGGATATTACGCAAAAATGATTGTGAAAACAATCCTTTTGATAGAACAATGACTTCTTAATAAATAAGGATACCTATGAAGATGAAAACTGCCCGTCGGACGTTTTCACATAAAAAATGGCGGTTCTTGTGCATACTGCCATGTTTTTCCATTATTTCATCGGCTTTCATCATTATAAAGGATACTTATAGCGAAACTAAAGATAGCATTTATCAAGGTAAGACAAGTAAGTATATTTTCATTTTTGTATGGTATTGTTCTAACGATAAGCATGGGAATTCTTTTACCATTATAACTATACATATATATAGAGAAAGATATGTAGATAAATAGATGATAACATAGTTATGCTACTAAAAATGAGCTGCAGTGTATATGACATATGTTCTTGAAGGCTTGTATAGTAATTTCCAACTGTATTATTGTGAAAACTACAAATTAGAGTTCTGGTACAACACCAAGCTGCTTTCACCTTTTAGCAAAGGCTACAAAAAATTTATCTTTTTTATTAAAACTTATGGAAATAATTATATAATAAATGTTCAATAAAATAATAAAATTTGTTATAACTTGTTATTCGTTAAATTCGTGTTGTCTTTATCATCCACTACTTGGATTACAGCAACTTGTAAAACAATTAAATAACCATTATTCAGTATGAATTTTCGAATTGTATCAAACGCAAGATAATAAACGCATGAAATCATATTTCATTTTGAACTTGACCCTATGCATAAGCAAACCTTCCAAGCACTGACAATGTTTGGGGTTAAAGTATGCCTATAAATGGTACCAGTGACAAATATACTGCGCTCAAGGACCAAAATATTATTGATTTGCAATTAAATTTGATTGTCATGCAAAGAAAAAATCCAAGTGCAAATCATAATATATATTTGATGTTACATTTATTTCAGTATAATTTCATGTTTCATTTTTTGCTGTTTCTGGGATATGTAGCGTTATAGATTAATATAGTTATTTCGACAGAAGAATGTTGATGAATTTGGTTTTAATGAATATGAATACGATTTAGGAAGTGATTGTTTTTCTAGTATCAAATTATGATTCTTATGACATTTTATAAGGTATTTCTCCCGCCTTCTTCGCATGCCTTCGTGGTGTGGTAGTCTGAACGCTGGGCGCGTATTCCAGAGATCCGCGGTTCGATTCGCGGCGAAGGCTTTGCCTATTTTTCATTTTTCCCGCTTCCAAAAAATCCCAATGACTCTACAAGTTTTGACAAGAGAGTTTATTTTCATTTTATTTTGCAAAGAAAAAAACCCTCTTGTCTGCTTCACTGATAAATTTATAAGACAAACAATTTCTTAATGTGAAATTTGACGATCATGAACTATAATGAATCTTGTTACTTCAGAAAATGGTCATTTTTTCCATTTTTAATGTTCCCATACATTATTTATACATCCCATAACTATTCTCATTCATAACGTTTATTTTTTATAACAATATTAAAATAATTTTTAAAATATGTTGCCTTATAAATTTTGTATGTAAGTTTTGCTTTCAAAATATCCAATTCGCTGTTAAGTTTCGTGAATAAAACGATTCGAGCACACTAGTTTTTGAGAAAGCATTGCAGGAATTTGCTAATTGGTTAAAATCATCGTTGTGTGTTTTGAACTTACAAATTCTCTCACAACCCAAACGGCGAATTCACATTAAGAAAGAACAAGTAGACAAGTATCAGTTTTGATAAAATAATAAGTACGTGCACTTAAATTTTATTTTTAACTTAAGCGTTTAAACTCAAATTTCGTTTTAAACTCAGACATTTATGAATTAAATTAAAGGGCAGATGTTTCATCATTTCAAAACACTAAAAATTACCTTGAGAAAGAAACATTTCAGCAATGCAATAAATGAATAACATATTGTGTGCAGCTCACAGAAATGAGGTTTGAGCTATCACTATGATTGCATAACATCATAATTAGTATCACATGAAATAAATTTTTATTATTTTAGTATGTTTTGCTACTGCTGGGAAAATTTATATTCTATACTCATTGCAACATTCCATCATTAAAATGTATTCTAAATAGTTTAATGCCGTTAATGGGCTAAAGCAGTGGTCTTTAAACTAGGTTCATCGTGCTAAACCCTAGGGTTCTGTGAAATAAAGGGGAAATTCTTTCAATATATCAACAGATTCGACGTTAAAATATATATTTAAGCAAGAAAATCTCCTAAATATTTGGCTGTAGATTTATGTAGAAGTTTCTCATACAGCTATGAACATTTTAATGCCATTCAGAAAACCGTATTAATAGAAGATCTTTTTCAACAGATGTGGCAATAAAAACAAAATATTGAAACAAGTTAAATGCAGAATATGGATTGCGACTGCAGGCAACATCAATACAGCTGGACTTCGAACGGTTTGTAAAAAATGCATGCGCAATCTTGTCACTAAACCTAATGCAAGGATAGGTGACACCTGAAGCATGAGTTAATGCTATTCATAAATAATTTACATTACTTTTATGTTAAAAATTTTAAAATATAAATGCAGTGCATTTTTAATTGTCTTTACACAAAATACTTATAACATATTGGCCAATTTTAAGTATTACTTTTTAAGATATATTTTTCTAATTGTCGGATGAGGTTACCCGAAAATGCCTTACATTTCTAAACGTTCTGTGACTCGACCAAGTTTGAAGACCACTGAACTACAAGGAATAAGATATTCTGCTAATATTTTAAGCATTAACTCTTTTACGTATATTTTTCTTAACATTTAAAAGCATTAAAAAAACTTCATTTTTGAAAACGTGTGCTTTTGAATATAGTTGAAGTTTCGCGAAAGGATCTATCTCTGGTTCCGCAAAAAAAGAGCGAACTGGTTTTTACAACCGTAGATGCAGACGATAGGTCAAAAGAAGTTTTAGTTTTCTCTTGATTCTTGTAAGTTCATTAAATTTAAGGTTTTACGCTATATTTTAATCATCTTCACAGTAATGTTCTTGTGATGCATGAAGAAATTCGAAATAAAATGCATTGATATATAGTAATTCCAAATTTAAACCATGGATAGAGAAGCGATACGAAAAGCTAGCCCTCACGTACGAGGGATCATTACGGAGCATGCGCAAGCTACCTCTGAAGTTCTTTTATGACAATGCACTGATCCGCTGTCCGTAGCTAAGCATATCGTCTCTATCACCTGCCTACCACATTTTCTGAGGTAATACGTTTTCAAAAGAAACAAAAAATAATTACGGATCATCTATTCTATGTATTCTCATTTGTACAAATATTAAATGTTGCACTCATTTTTCCAAAGGGAAATATTTATACATTTTTTCAAAATGATTAGGCATTTAATGTGTTTGGCTAACTGAATGTTCTTCTGATTTAATGTGTTTGTTTGGCTAACTGATTTAATGGGTTTGGCTAACTAAATATTCATAGCGTTTTTTAATACGACTGCTACTGAAGGAACCGATATTTCAGGAAACACGAAAAAATACCATTACTGAAAATTTGTGTACGACGAGCACTTGCACTATCCGTGGGAGGTTATCTCCTAGAGGATTCGTAATTTTTCTTCATATTTTTTCCTGTACAAATCAAGAGAAGCCATTGATTCCATCGATTAGACATGAAAAATAAACATATCACCTGCGGCATATTACCTAGCGAAGGAATGATGGCTGTCGATTTTCATGCATTGATAAACATATCTGTTTCAGGTTACCTTATATGTACGATTTTGATGAGATTCCGTTTGCTCAGCAGTATCGTAAACTCGTGATGACACAAATTAAAAGACTGCTTCATGAAATAACATTAAATTATCAGCATAATCCAAGTAATTCACTTCTTACAGATGAAATAATAAAATGCATATTAAAATAGGGAGGTATGCCTATTGTAATATGTATTTATTATTGCTAGTGGAGCCTATTGGAGTGAAAAGTTACATTTACAGTAAGTTAAGATATCAATTTATGATAAATATAACATGTTAATTAATTAACATCTTATGTAACATGTTTAATTTTCTTATGTCAGTGTTTATATAAGGAGTTGCTGATCTCGTAATAATGTAAGAAAATAATTTTCGACAATCATTGTGTATACTTTTATACAACTATTAATTAAATTTTCCTAAACCCAGGCTAGAATATCCTCAAATAGTCAGGCTGCTTGGATGTTTCCATGTTTTTCTCCAGTCTGAGCTCTGGGTTTGGTTATTAGAATATGGCAAAGCACATGAGGGCTATTTGCCTAAGGGAAAGTGATTTTGTGAAAGCCTTCCTAAGGGAATGTGGCTTGTATCCGCATTACACATGGGGAAACCATGAAAACCAATCATGTAGCCAGCCTTTTCGCCTGAGATCGAAGCCCGATCGAACTCACAAATTTCAACAGTTTGAATCCCTCTGCCACTGGTGAGGCCTAAATCGAACTAGAGGCACTTAAGTAGATGGCTTCTTGTGCTTTGCTGTGTTCGACTAAAGACACAGAAACAGATGATAGTGGAAAATGTGTTATTTGAATGTTTTAAACCGCAGCAGACGAAATATGGGCTTTCACCTTGATCACATTTTTGTCTACTCTACATATTACGACCAAACGACTGTGAAAAAGAGGGCCAAGCCGCCAAATGTCAACAGAACACAAGCAAGAGCAGAAATATAACATATCTGATATGAAAAGTGGGTTCAAAACTGGTTGAGGTATGGTTCCCAAATTTATTGCTGGTTGCTGTTAAAAATGTTTCGGTTCCAATCGAAAACTTTCTTATTCACCGAAGGGCATCATTAGCATTATGGAAGAATCACATGACGTGGATTAATTTTGAAATGACTCACTTAACAGAGACTTCTTATAAGCAGTGACTACTTTTAGAACAGAAAGTGAATATATATATATGATGATGATGGGGGAATGTTGTAGACATAAGACATGAAATACTGAAGCATGAAACAGTAATTCCATACCTAAAATATTTAATAAATTTGGGAATAAATTTGGGAATCGTCTCTATCACCTGCCTACCACGTTTTCTGAGATAATAAGTTTTCAGATGAAACAAAAAATAATTACGGATCTATTCTATGTATTCTCATTTGTACAAACATTAAATGTTGCACTCATTGTTCCAAAGGGAAATATTTATATATTTTTTCAAAATGATTAGGCAGATTTAATGTGTTTGGCTAACTGAATGTTCTTCTGATTTAATGTGTTTGT